AAAGACTATTGCATTTACTTACAGACACTTTTTCACATAATGGAATTAAATTTATGTACATCTAAACACTTATTGCACGTCCCCTACTTTCATATAACGGCAAATTTAGAAACCGCGAAAAANTTATTGCACGTCCCCTACTTTCATATAACGGCAAATTTAGAAACCGCGAAAAATGTGCTTCTGCGGCGACTAATGAAACCATTCCGCACCAGTTTTCAAGACTGCAAAAATGGACTTAAAATGGGCGTTTCTCACCCTAATTGTAATGTATGTAAATACTTATATGTTTGAAACTACTATTAACTTGTCGAATGATTCCTAATCTTTGACAATACATTCATTCACCACGATCTTGAAAACTGAACAAATCGGCGTGACCAAGTCCATGGTCATTTTAATATTATGTAAACATTAAAAGGTTTGAAATAAATCTCGTCTCACTTTTTTGTATTTTTCACTTGGTTGCTGAAGTAATGAAGAATTGAAAATTCATAAGGGAAAATCATAGTTTTCTTATTTTTTATTTTAATATCTTAAAAACGTGTAGACTTATTGAAAAATGATAAATGAACGTGAGGTTCTAAATTTAATAGCCCTTAATTTGATATATCGTCATGTTTATAACAATAACGCATTCCATAGATATTACAAGCCAAAGTTTCATTTTCAAAATTCATACACTTTGATTCAATTGCGCGGGCTAAAGATAAGTTTTAAATTAATCTTTCGTGGCCAATAACAATTGGCTGAGACCTAAGACTTCATAATATTACTATTACAATGCGGTCAAATGACTGTGAAGAGGGAAGCGATACGTATTTGCCACAATAAGAGAGAGGCCGAAATTCGGCAGTGCGAAGAGCTTGAAATGCTGGCCGGCAGGGAGAATGTCCGAAAATTAATTAACTCACAATTGGTCAGAGGTACATGCTAAGTACTACTCGTTTTTTCAGACAATAGACATCATCTCGAAATCAAGTCTTTTACGCAAGTTGTGAATTTTTTTTTTCTCTTAGCATTGTCTATCGTTGGATGGGACTGAACTGGGGATCTAACAGTCGCAGTCAGAAAAAAATGGGATTTGGAGCCCGGATCTACACAGCTGGAAAAAAATGCTAACTAGCTTCTCTGATAAAAAAAGAGGTTAAAATACTTAACACGTTACTAAACTTCCAACTGCTTATGCGCAAGAAGGTAGCTTGTAACTCTGCCAATATACTCAACGTTAGAACAGTTAAGAAATTCAGAAGAAATTTCTTAGAACCGACCACATCATTTCAACCCATATTATCAACGCCAATATCCTTGCCCAGCGTCCTTCGAGGAAGAAATGAAAAACAGACATTGACAGAAAAAAAATGATAAAGCCTTGTTCACACGGATGGCGGAACTGTTGGTTATTAGCCAAACAGCGAAGACGCTGACATACATATCAGTCATCCCGCTACAAACAAGTACACCCCAATTAATTTAAAAATTCAGGAAAATTCCAAACAATAGATGGCAAGTAGAAGGAACCCGGTTGTCAAATTGCATGTCAACGCATTAACTGGCTAACCAGAATGTAGTACCACAGCCACAAGCTATTTCGCTAGCTTCGTCAGCTACATCAGCAATAATATACCACAACCACAGCTACATATTGTGGACAGTTTAGAGCATTTAGAATATTTTAACTTTTGACAGCTCTTGTTACATACCACAGCCTCATCATTCTGGTTAGCCAGTTAGACTCTTCTCAATCTAAGTAGGCAGAAAAACTGCAAGATCACTGTCTGGTAGAACTTCCAGCAACTAGGTGCCAAGCGAACGAGTACTGCGGGAGTACATGTACGAGGATGGAGAGAAGACCACCGACATCCTTCTTTTTTACTGCCCGGTAATAGCCAAAAGGATATAAATGAGCTTATTTCTTTGACGAACTAAAAAATCTCGTCGCAGTACATTAGTCCAAGTGCATGTTTTAGAGGAACGAGGCTAACTATAATTCACTTACGGTGTCACAAAACTCTCTGAGCCCGTAGGTGAATCCCATCCGGGACTATCGCCTAACCTCACCTGCGCGTGTTAGATCGATCTGGCTATTTCATATTGATCAGGCTAGCTTACGCTTAGATCTCGAGGTTTATTTGAAAAAAGGAAGTGAAGTTAAGTAAAAGGCTAACACTTAAAGTAAGGAATGAATAAACTTGGTAAAAATTCTAAATCTAAACACCAAAATGATCGCTTGTTGTCTTCAAACGTCCAAATACATAAAAGTTGTGATCCCGTACGAGTTTTCTGAGGAAAAATAAGAAGGTAAATAAAGTATTTTAAATGTGAAAAGTTACGAATTTTTTTTGCTCTTAAATTCTGGTAAATTTGTCAAATGATCAGATGTAGTGTGTTCGACAACCAAATTGTAAACAAAATAAAATTACACTCTGCTAATGCGCATTGAAAAATATTTAATTACTTATTTGCGTGGATTCTGATGAATTTACAAAGCAAAATTTGAAGGTTTTGTTGTTCTTAAAAATTACCATCCCCTCCCTTTCGGTGTTACTCCCTCGCTCTGAGCGAATTTTAATTTTTTGCCAGTTTTAGTAGTTCTAGTACAAGGAATACGGGATTGAGCCAAGAATGATAGCATACAAGATTGCGCATTTCTGCGGGTAATGACGTCAAGACAGCAACGAATAGGAAAGAGTAATTGGAGATGGAGGAGAGAAAGAGTGTTAACCGTCAAACCATGGAGGTCGCCATATTTACATGTATATAAACATCGCTGCATACATACAAACAGTTTGCTAAAATGACGTCACACGAACAACTGATTCTGTCAAATTCGCCAAGAACAAAGTAGCGGTACAGCTGATTGCGCCACCTCTGTCTCCCTACATCGTGGGATTGAGCCTAATCTTCGGCCTACAGAGAGAACCTTATTTACTCTCATATTTGTGCTCTCAGTTGCCAGAGAACCGGGTACGGAGTTGGGACTCATACGGAATCACCACTTATATTTCCTCAGAAATTACAGGTACAAAAATATACATCTTTAATGAAAATTCTGGATTTGAACTAGCGAGCTCAACCTTGTGTTGAGATTGGTTTTTTATTATTCATGGAAGATCAGATGTTTGGCATTGTCTGCCAAAAGTTGCTCCCTATTACGAAAAAAGGCTGGATGATGGTAGTGTGCAATTTTAGCCTTTCGGCTATGGCGGCCGTCAATTGTGTAAACGATATGTAATCAAATGTCTACCGTATTTACGTGCATATCCATCGATCGGTGTACCACGGGTTCAATAGTGGAATTAAATTTTTTCTGCGTACAATTTTGAAAAAAAAGAACCTTTCTTAAAAACCATCGTCGGTTCCGTCACTCGTCCGTTAGGTGGGTTAGCATCAAGCCACGACAAGTAGCCGAAGACTCTGGCTCGAATACCCAGCTATTTATAGCCCTGTTCACGTACGCACTATCCAGTAAAATCCAGTAATAATTTTACTGGATAATTTTAATGGTTTTTACTGGATGGCGTTTTCGTGGCAAAAACTTCCAAGAATCTAGCAAAAGAGGGGAAATTGAGGGAGCAAAAATGACAGCTGAACTAGCAAGTTTTACTGGATTTTCACTGGATAAATTTTTACTAGTAACTATTTGCTAGTAAGAAAAACAGCTGATGGCATGATGCTTTATGCAATTCACATTACAAAAACAATTGTTTGTGGTGCTTTAAGAGTTCCAATTGACAAAATAAACCTATTTATATAAATATATGTATGTATATAAAGATGGGAAATACTATTTTTCTTAGAAAATTTCGTCGGAAAATAACACTGTTTAAACAACTTGCAACTTCTTGCTGGTTTGGTAAATATTGGCTTACTCTGTGAAATTTGGTTTCTGGCAAGTTACTGGAAATTTTTTGCTGGAGAATACGAAAACACAACTTACGTATATCTAGGCTTCATTCGATAGCAAACACTTAGGCTTTTGAAATTTTGCTATTTTTTTGTATGAATACATACGCGAGTTTGTACAAACGCGTTTTTTGTCTAAATTGAAATTGATTAACTATGTACGTAAATCATCCGTTGAGGTGGAACACAACAATTTTACAACGGGCACTTTTAAAACTCTACCACACATTTTCATAATTAGTTCTTTGTGTATAGATACCAATTTCGTCCTTAATTTGTTTTTATTTGTTTCTCACCTTTCTCCAATTGCAGCGCCTTCTCTTTCCAAGACGGATTCGACTCTTTCGAAATAATGTGTTCGCGTGCCCCAAGATAACTGATACTAATCGGTGGTGGTACCACTTCCGCAAGAGATTTCCTTTTCGCATCCGTCGTCAATGGCCACGAAATCACTGGCTGCGGTATTTGAACAGCATAACTGGAATGTGTACTTGTAGTTATCGGCGGCAAGAGCGAAGCAGATGACGATGACGAGGGCGGTGGCGGTGGTGGTGGTGTAGGTGGCGTCAGAGGACTTTCATATTGAATAAAAGGATTGCTATATATTGACGGTGTGAAATGAGCAGCAATCTGTGGCAGCATGTGGGACTCGCTGGACGAAAGTACGGTGTATGGTTGGTAGTGAGTTGTTGTCAAACACGAACTTCCATTCAAATGCATATCCAAAGGATAATCCGCTCTGTAAGCAACTGCATTGCTAGCGCTAACTGGTGGTGGTTTCGGTGTAGTGCCAAGTTCCAATAAAATTGGCTTTTCCGTTTCCGATTGATAAGAATCGGCATCGTCACAAGCTTCCGCTGTGCCGTCGGTGGTTTTAATAGCATTCGGCACAAGTACCGCCGGCTCATCATTTGCGTTACTACCAAGAAATTCATCGGACATTGTGTAAACTTAATTTGCTCGAAGGCGTTTCTCACTCTTACACAAAAACATATACATATACAAATATACATATGTATACACACACAAAATCATATGCAACTATTACAATTAATTTTAGGTACTTTTCATATCATGATTTATAGTAACACTTGATTGTGCGTTTAAGTTTTAACAATAAGAAATTTAAAACCCCATCCGATTAACCGGCGCCGCGTTCGCGCTCTATAGTCGTCCATCAACAGCGAATGCTTTCAGTAAAATGTCACAAGATTTCAGATCGATTCGTTATCGCACCTTTAAGATCACTTTCGTTTTTTAAGCGTTAAAAGTCGAGCTTAGGTTCTCTTTGCGTGGAATATGTGGCAACGTATAAAATTATATGGCTGCCAGTATGGCTGATTTCTATACACCATGACACACATGCATATGTACATTAACTTATAAAAGGCATGCGCTTATGTACAAACGTACATACATAAGTACCCTGTAGGATGTCGGAATAGACTTAGAGCACTGCACAAACTAGACTGCAAGTTATTGTAAGTAGTCCAAAGTTTGTAAAATTCTATTTAGATTTAACATTAAATGTCCTAGGCTCGGACCAATTGCCCGCTTCTGCATCGCATTGTAACCAATTTTCTAAGCGGATACTTTCTGTCCGCACATGAAAATTCGTTGACTAAAGGTGAAATTAGTCAAGAACGTAAACCTACCGGTACGTAAACCCGAGTCACCTGATACGATCTGTCTTACGAGAGCGCCATGTAAATGAAAACTCAACCACCGCAAAATTTTTTTGTAGTTGTAGCCCGTAGCGCAAAAATCTGCGGAATTTAGATTTTTCCGTGTCAGGTGATTTTTTCCTTCTATAGATGGTTGCCACTTCGTCAGTTTTGTAGATGGTAAAAAAGTTATAAGTTCCTATTCAAAATACGTTTAAATTATTTGAAATTTACTTTCGAATAAGGTTTTTTTTTTGTTGAAAAATAAGTAGTTTATATTTAGCTTGCATCTATTATTGCACGAAAAATTTTAGTTGAAAAGATAAGTTTATGAAAAGGCATTGATGATTGGCAACACTGTAGTAAGCAACACTGAGGGCTCCAGTAATCGACAAAATTCTGCAGCTTTTAAGTATATGTTCTGCGTTCTTGACTAATTTCACCTTAAGTGCCTACATATCGGTAAATCGTTAATCATACCCATTGTCCGCTACGGCGTGACATTATAACCAATTTTAGAACAATTTTCATACCGTATGCATTACATTCGGACCACTTTTAGTACAATTCACCTGTTTTAAATTACATTGCTTTAAATTTTTGGACTATATATGGACTATACTACCATCGAGCAATGGGACCAACCATTCCTTCAGGGTATGTACATACTTACAAATGTATGCACATACATATTAACGCGTGCATTCAAACGCTTGCATCGGAGCCTTGTCGTATTGATGAGCTCTGCTCCAACTTCATTTGTAGTATTTAATACTCCATTCAATATTCAATTTGGTTTTATAAGAATTAGTTTCATAAGTAGATATAATGGCTTATGGTGGGTCTCTTTACTTACGTTACGCATGTAGCCAAGGGAGGACAGCGGTGGTCATTTGAAGGAATTGACGAGAAATGTCGAAATGTAGCGCGTGACTCAAAAAAATAATTTTATAATGTAACAAAGAATGTATAACATACGCATGTATGTATATACTTGTATGTAAAAAAAAAAAACAAATTATATAGGGAGGAAAATATAGATTACAAAATAAATAAGAAGTATTTATACATACATAGTTACATATGCGGTAATTTCAGTATTATAAATTAATTTCTATTTGTTCTCATGGATATGTAGAAACAAAAAAAAAATTATAGTTTAAAAAACTAGAAAACGATTTTACTAAATACAATGTGAACTAAAAAGTAAAAAATTGTTTATAGACATAAAGATTTTGTTTAAGGGAAATAGGAAGTTCCCTAACTTGATTTTATTCAGCTTTTTAATTATAACACCATGCGACAAAAACCAACAATTTTTAAACACACGAAAAAAATCAATACACAGAGGGAAAAATGTTTTTAGTTAAATTTTTGTTTGTGTATATAAATAGAAATTTCGGGGTCTAACAAAGTATAAGTTTTCTGGTATCCTTTACAACGATAAAATTTTTAAAAACTGATGCGTAATTTTTTTGTTTAAAATATTTTTTTTACAAAATAGGGAATTTTTTGCTTTAAGTGTTTTTTCTCAAATTACATACGTTCCTGACAATATACACATTTAAATAGAAATTGCATTTCTTAAAGCAATTAACATATGGAAACAAGAAATGGTAAGTCAACGCCGTCTATTTGAGAACTCTATTACAACCACTGAAATTTAACTTAATCTCCCTCACAAATATTTGCATAATGGCAAATTGACTTTATAAACCAAAAATTACACTTATTCCTCAATAGATTCAGAGGTCATAAAGCAATTTATGTCCATATTTTTATAAGTAAATTTATACTTTGTCCCCACTGTGAGATTTAATAAAGATTTAGCCCTGTGACGAGATTTAACGTTAAATCTTTTAAGATTTACCATATAAATTTAAGTCTCGAAAGGCAGTAGATTTAAGTAAAATCGGCGGGCACAGCGAGTTTTCTTCACCACAGTGAGATAGCCAGGAGGCATCTGATCGTGGCACTCATTGACCATGGCAATCCGCTGGGCCAAATGTCTCAATGGGGAGCAGTCGAGCTTAAGCTGCTGGATGCGCTCGTCGCGAAAAGGAGGCCAGCCGACTGAAAAAGGGTAAGACAGCTTATACTGGTTAGGAAAAGTATGCACTCTTATATTGATATTAATTTCTCTTCAAATAACCTGACGGTAGTAGCTGTGAAGGCTGGCAAGGATGACACAATACTCCTTGCATCTCTTTACATGCCTCACGACGAGGAGTCGCCACCAAACGAGCTCCGGAAGTTAATGGGAGAGGCCGATAAGGCGAAACATCCACTCATCATAAGCGCGGACGCCAATGCGCACAACACGGTATGGGGGAGTGGAGATCCAATAAGAATAAATATCAATTAGTCTAACCTCATTCCTTCTAACTTGAAACTATTCTGGTGCCTACATTAGCGGTAAACTGCCGTAGGCCAGCATATCAAAGGCGCAGCATGCTTATCACGAAGGTTAGATCCACTTCCATATCCCTCTTTGGATAAAAAGTCTGCTGAGCTGCAGGAAGATTAACGCGGAGCGGAACAATGCCAGACTGCTCAGACTAGTGCATAGAGAAACTCCTCAGGATGGTGTTCTGTCACCAGTCCTGTGGCTACTCGTAGCGAATGAACTTCTGGGATAATTCGAAGGGAAATCACGCAGACTAATTGCCTATGCGGACGACATAGCTATAGTTGTTACGGGAAATTCCTAGATACCATCAGTAATGTAATGGAAAGCGCTCTAGGGGTCGTACATCGATGGGTGACTTCCGCCAACTTTGAGGTAAATGCTGAAAAAACGGATGCGGTACAAGAAGGTACAAAATCCCCGCGTGGAATCCCCCGAGACTCAACGGGGTGGAGCTATCAAGCAAGGATCTTGGAATCTTGAATGGTTACACCTTTCACCTTTGGTGACCTACCAGCCAATTGACATCGCAGTGGATAATCACTGCACGCGAAATCCGCTATAAGATTGATGGCCTTAGGTGAATTCTCCGCTAGTACCTTCGGGCACAGCTCGATATGCAGGGGGGTGGAGGACAAAACAGACCACATACCCCCACGCTTCATCTGGGAAAGAAGGTTTCAAGCTACGTTTAAGGAGGCCGGATGGCGCAGGAGCATGCGACCCGCCAGCGGAACGTATAACATCTACACGTCTTTAGGCCTGAGAATTTCTGTAGGGTTCCCAACTGTCGAAAAAATTTTAAGATCCGCACCGTTTGTTGTATTACAGAAAATGAGGTGTCAAGATGAAAGTGCTTGGCCTCCAGATGTCCAATAATGTATTATTTTTTTTAGTAGGGCTGCCACCATTTTTGAAATTATAATAACTTCACAGCTAGTTAGACTATGGTACAAAGTGAAAGGATCATTGAAACCTTAAAAAAGTTTATTCAGATAATAATTTTATGTAGAAAATAATTTAACCTTAAAAATAAATCTTCTGATCTCACTTCTTCAATTATGGATACCAGTTCATTAAACAGGCCAAGAAAATTTTGGAAAATCCCAAACCCAAGAACTATTTATTATTATTTAGTACTGATATGAATACCATGTATCTCCTGTGCAATTTTTTGCACTGAATCCAGAACTAGTCCAGCATGTAAGGTTTATTCTAACCTAAAGGTGTGAAAATGGTATTTTTTGGAATTTTCCTAAACTTATATATTAATTTATATTATATATATTAATAGAAAATATATTTTTTCAAATGTTGGCACAAATTTAACCTTAAAATTCGTTTAATTTAAACTATGCGATTGAAACTACCATATTTGGCCCGCCATTTTGAATTTGTATTGTTGCTTTTGTTTTGTGCATTGTTATCATATTTTCATACAAATTTTCGATTTTATAAAGCATTCTTTATTTTTTATGAATTGGGGTGTTAGTATGTAATAAATTGATCCCGATTTATTTTACTTTTTTGCTTTCGACCACATAAAAGGTCCGTTTTTTTGCTCGCCCACGAACGTCCGAAACTTCCCATTTCGGTTTCCTTTGGTTGAATCTCGGGCTGTTGAGAGCCACTTTGAGAGAGTAATTTTTGTTTCTTACTAGATCGTGTCCCGCGGACTTTTTCCGCGTGTGAGTTTCTGAAAACTGTCAAACTGCCCAAAGAAGAGGAAGAATGATAAACATTCGAATTTTAACTAATAAATACAGGGTGTTTGGCAGACGGTTAAACATAGCTAAATGGGGGCTAGTTGGGGCTGTCTCCTATGTATTCAACCGGAAAAATTTTGACCTAGGCTCCCATGAGTTTTTTTAAGATTTTTTTTTTTCTAATTGTAATGAATTCGAACCGCAATACAGTATTTAACTTGAAAACCAGTTTCTCGAGCAACCTAGTGAGTATGCTTTTCAATCCAAAAGAAGACATTATCCACGGCATCTGTCTTCTGAGAACCGCATAGAAGGCTTTTTTGAGCGGGATGCGTGAAAGACTTATGCGTACCGTCAATGAATTGATTGGGCCTTCTTATCAAGGCTTTAGATCTGGAAAATTGCA